AGATATAAAAATAAAGTAAATAAAATAAAAATAGAAATAAAAGATTTGGTTCGGAATTAGGGTATTTCGACTAACAATTAGCATTAAATCCTAATTCTGGTAACACTTGTAATACCCAAGAGGTATAAATATGTTCGAAATTAAACCAAGTGAATGTTAACAAAAAAAATGGATTGAAATGTTTGAAATTTTGGAAATGTGGTTGATTTGGTTTATGGATGAAATTTTGGTTTGTGGTTGGAAATATGGTTGAAATGTGGTTGATTTTTTAGTTTGTGGTTGAAATATGGTTGAAACATGTTTTTTTTGGTTTGTAAAACTTATTTTTATTATTTAAAATTATAGTCACTCAACATAAATTTGAGATTGTCACAAAGTAATAAACATGACAAATCATGCTGATTATTGCCATTCATCATCACTCTAGTTTATAATAATAATTTCTTAATGTTATTTATTATTACAAACAATTGTGAAAACAAATTATATTCTTTTCAAATGATAAGATCACTCACTGTTTTGATATTAATCCAATTTCCAGAAAAACAATCAGGCAAGAATCTCATGATTTGAATGTTGAATGATGTATTGAAAATTCTAATAAATTATTTAAGTTTCTAACATTTATTTAATTTCCTTGTAGCATTTTCCCCCCTGAAGAAAAAGAAAATTTGGATGATGAGGATTGTTATTTAAGCCATCAAAAAAAATTACTTACTTCTATTGGGGTACCATCAAAATACGCCCAAAATGCAAAAAAACTTTTAAAAACCAACAAAGAAAAAATTCCGTTACTAAACTACCATCCCTTTAACAACTCTAGTATTCCACTGCAATTGTTACATCCAATTTTTGGTGAATATCTAAATGATTGTGAACATTATGATTTGGATTTGGATTTGGATTTGGATTTGAATGATTATCAAAAGATATTCAATTTCATATATTCATGTCAGATTTTTATGAAGATGGAAATGACAGATTATCTGCATTCACATTGTGTTGGAAAACATACTTTGGATATGCTGTAATCAAAATGGTTTTTAATGATATGAAGGTTGATGTATGTGTGTTGTTTCTCACAAACTAGCAAGTGACATTTTGACTATTTGCATTGAGCTTAAAAATGAGGATGGATTGGAAACTGTGATCCTTACCAACAAGTCTCAGCATATTATGCACATTATGTTCCGTCACAAATAAAATTGGAGAATAAGTTATTTTTATGTACAAGTTTTCCAACCTTCTTAGTATATCTTTGTGGTCCATACCTTGCAGGGGCAGTCCATTGGGTCCATTAGTGTAACACTTTAACTGTATTTAGTATTTTGCAATGGACCAGTCAATTTGCCAACCCTGATACCTTGGGATCGCAGGAGCCTTTTTGGTGAAAAGGTGACCATTGAACCACTTAGTTTCATTCAGATCCATGATTGGAATAAACAATTGTCTCTAGAAAAGACTGTAAGGATACTCAGTGTGCTGAGGAAAGGCATGGAGTCAATTGAAAGTTATTTTATTTCAGTTGCTAAAAAAAGGAATTCCAATATATTTCATTGCTATACCCAAAAAAAATTTCCTTTCATCCGAAGCTTTAAAAATGATGAGGGAGTGAAAGTTACATTTGCTTACATGTCAAGTGTAAAGGAGTCATGGAAAGACCTTGTTTTTCAAGTGGAGTTAGAAGGTAGGGAGAAATTGGTTGCAAAGTGTGTGAAAGAACATAAATATTCATGTCAAGCACATAAGTTTTATGCTCAAAAAGGGTTAGCAATATACATGAAGTTGAAACTATTTCAACCATTTGCAGATCTGGTTTAAATAGGGTTGAAATAAAGCCAAAACTGATTTTTACTATGTAGTTGCCTCAAGTCGAAAAATTTTGACTTTGGGGTTTTAATTTTGACTTCATGTATAGTTAGCACCACAACTTGTAAGTAATGAAATAATTCCAAACACATTTTATTCATTGATTATGATGGAGGATTTGAAAGTAAGTGGTTACAAGGATACACTGGAATCAAGAACAGAGGAACTAAAGGAAAAAATTATGGAAGCAGTAGAAATGATGCATTCTCAAAGTTGGATACATGGTGACATGAGATTAAAAAACATTATGTTTAAGCAGGATAATAATAATGAGTGGAAAGTAAAGTTGATAAATTTTGACTGGGTAGGCAAAGAAGGCTATGCATCTTACCCACTTATCATTAATAGGAAACTTCCTTGGCATCAGAATGTCAAGCATGGTGGTAAAATTTTTCAAGAGCATGATACACACTTACTTGCAGAATCTTTTGCAGGGAGATATTAAAAAATTCAACAATATTGTTATAGAGATCAAGAATGTTATAATAATTTAAATATTTTAATTGCCCTTCTTATCATCATTACTTCTTCATCATTATTTCCATATCTTTTCATCGTTTTTTATCTTGAAAATCATCTTTACTGCTAGCACATAATAATGAATTATTTATTAATTATACTACATACTAAATTAACATAAAAGGTTTTTTGAAACCATTCAAACTCTTCTAAAGATTTATTTTTTTTAATATGCAATACATTTCAATTTAGCTGACTTGATTTATAGATTTTAAATTTTAATGGATAAATTTTCAGAATAATAATAGGAACTATATAAATTCTTGGTAATACAAATGTACACTTTGTCTGGTTTTGTTGTAGTATTCCCAAATAATATATAATACATCTATCTACACATATAATAGTAATTTAAAAAAAATTTCACATTCATTATGAGTTCTATGCAACAAACAAATTTGTTTTCCAATATGTATGAACATGAGAGTTAAATTTGGATTAAATAAAAAAGCATTAGTTGTTCAAGTAGTTTCTAATACAAGAGGAAACAGCACAGGACCTGATTATGTATCTGAAACAGATCTAGATTCATCTACAAGTGAAGTAGTAAATGGAATATTTTAAAGGGAGGGAATACATGTTTTCCTGGGCCAAATGTTATGGGGATTCGATGATGAAATTATAGTTGAATGATTACAAGCAAGAGTTTCATTTTTTCCTTTTCACATCGTTACTGATAATTTTAAGGAATAGTAGCTAGTTCAGATCAAGAAGAATTGAATTTTGCAGGCTCTTTTTCTCACAAGCATTCTGGAAAACAGTCTTTGATATTCCAATCTGTATCTTAGGGAGAATATATATATATATATTTGAAAAATTTATATCGTCCCGTGTTGACCCGTTCAAGTCGGGCGGGTATGTCATTAAACCCGACCCGATCCGACCCGTTCGGAACTCTAGTCAGTAGGCAACTAACATTCCAGTAAAAGTGTCAATATGATTACCCTTATCAACTATGATAAATATTGACTTGACAGTATATTGTTAATTTACAGTTTAGTGATATTATTATCTCTAAGCTAATTCTTTAGACACGTGCATGCTTGAATTACTTTCTTTTTCGAAATGCATTTTTTTGTAATTAAGATCATCACGCCCAAAAAGATTCAACTGATACACTTATGCCTTATATTAAATAATACACTCATTTATTTTTACTAATTAAATATTCATATATAAATAAATATTAAAAAATGATTCTTATCTAGAATTGCAAGATAATCACATGCATTTTGGAAAGGTGGTTTCATGAACCTATTATAATTATTGAAAATGATAATTAATGTTGAAAAATAAATATATTAGATATTATGATTAGATATTATGTATGATAATTAATTAATTTGGATCTGTTTGAGAATTTACTTCTAGTTCATCTATTATTATAATTGATAATAAGGTTCGGTCCTCTTAGTAGCAAAACACTGGACAAATTATTGCCAAGGCTTTTTTTTTTGAAAATAGTTTGGGTGGAATCTTAATTGATACCAAATGAAAACGGAAAAAAAATATTTTCATTATTATTAGTAGCAGTAGTAGTATCAGCATTATAATAATAACATTCATTGTATTTATCAGTTAATATTTTTTGGCAATATCAATATATTCACACTCCCATCCTTGATTCTCATAATATTTCAACTTGAAACTTGGATCCAGTACTAAATAAATTTAATGAATAAATATTTTTAACTTGAAAATTTGAATCACTTTGGTAACATTAATATACATAATAATAATAAGACAATGGTTATGTATGACATTCGGCATAAGACAAGGGTTATATAACATTTGACCGTGCGACCAGTGCGACCCATGGGTAACCCATTCGGTGTTTATTATTATGTAATATTTGTAATGAAAACTTGTATAAAGCATTCAATACAACACATAATTTGCTTTCCATGTCATGTCATAAATCAGATTCTGAAATTGGTTTATTATATATTTATAGACAACAAATTATTAAAAAGTTCATGAAGATCTTTTTGTGAATGAGGATGGTATAACCATGCATGTCAACACAATAAATCATTGTTTGCTTTATGCATTTGGTGAATGCAACAAACAACACAACGTCACATGGTTTTATTCAAATAATAAGCTGGCAGACGAAATAGTAATAGGATATCTATCAATTTATTAATTAAATATTCATTCTATTATCATATTTTAATGTCGATCATTTATTTAATCATATTGTAAATACGATCGATCACATAAAAGAAAATGTAAAATTAAATATTAATACGGCATCATGGACTTTGTCCTTAAATGGAAAACAAACAAATTATCTTTCGAAGATAGGAATGGGAACGGTTCAGCACAACCCAGCTGGGCCGCGCAATTTTTTCAAAACTTTCAACAAAAGAACCTGAATGTGAATTTTTGCTAATTACGCAAAAATGTACATAATACAACCATTAAATTTATTATACCGCAAGTAGCTTAATTTAACGTCTCGAGCCTTCTATAGTTCTGGTAATAGAAGAAAAAAGCAAACTTTTATTAAATTTGATTGTCTCAAAATAATTGTATTTATTAACCATAAATGCGAAAATTCGTTATTAAAATAATAATAAGCGAACAACTAGCCAAACTGGCAGAAAGACACAAAATTTCGAATAAATAATATAAATACAAATATCCAAGAATTATAAATACAAATAAAGCTAATTAATAACTGGATACAAACATTTTATTAAGATTTACTAAAAATGTATTAAAAATTTACTAAAATTTATTGAATAAACAAGTAGTTAATTACTAATTGGTTCAAGCGATATATATATATATCTTGGCCAAATAATAAACAATAAGTTTCACCGGTTATATAATAAGAGTTTGTTTATTGTTTATTTATTATTATCTGGCTGAATTTTTTAATTGCCTGGTAGATCTTTCATTTCCTCCAAAATCAGACTGCGTGACACGACGATTTTATGTATATACAAATTTACTGAATTTTCATTTCTTATAAATAATTTTTTTAGATAAATAAAAATGCAAACAATTAAATGTGTGATTGTAGGAGATGGGTAAAGTGAATTTATTTTAAGTACTTTTATTCAAAAGTTCAAATTCAATTCAATTCAATCTATTAATCTGATCAAAATGTTCAAATTAAATAAAAGACCATTCATTCAAATGTCTAACAATTTGAATATTATTATTGTTTTAAAGTGCTGTTGGAAAAACTTGCATGTTGGTTAGCTATACTACAAATGCTTTTCCAGGAGAATATATACCAACAGTGTAAGTTTATATGGTTTAATAATATTCATATTTAACAAATTAGCTAGTTAATTTTTTAGAAATTAAAATTAAATACATACATACACACACACACACTTACACACACACTTACACACACACACACACACACACACACATATATAGATTTGATAATTTTACAGCAAATGTAATGGTGGATGGAAAACCAATTAGCATGGCACTTTGGGATACAGCTGGACAAGAAGATTATGATAGATTAAGGCCACTTTCATATCCACAAACTGATGTTTTCCTGATTTGTTTCTCACTGGTTAGTCCATCTTCATTAGATAATGTAAAAAACAAGGTAACAAAAAATATTTTTGATCAATTAATTATAAAATTCTATAAAGTCATCATCCATATATACAAACTATGTTTATGTGCTTATAATAGTGGGTTCCAGAGATTATTCATCACGCCCCAAACGTTCCATTTTTACTAGTGGGCACTAAGTTTGATCTTCGTGATGATAAAGCCACGATATTAAAATTACGTCAAAAAAATCAAGCTCCAATTTCTTTTGCAGAAGGACTTCAAATGGCAAAAGACATTGGTGCAGCAAAATATGTAGAATGTTCGGCACTGACACAAATGGGGTTAAAATCGGTATTTGATGAAGCAATAAGAGCAGTCCTTACTCCTATCTTGATTAAAAAATATAGGCGTAAATGTATAATATTATGATTTATCCCCATATTAATTAATAGTTGTGTTGGCCCCTTGTTAGTAGTTTTTCTAGTTTTTTTTTTTTTTTTTTAATAAATTTGTTATCCATTATATATATAAATTTATTCGTATAATCAATGATGAAAAGAGAGGGAAGAGAGAAATGACTTATATGAGTTTTAATATTTATTGGTCTTTGTAAATTTTTAATATAATTTTTTTTTGTTTTCACCAATAGAAAAAAAATATTAATATTAATTAACAAATATTTCTTAATACATTTTATGCAGAAAAATAAATGTGCATAAAAAAATTTATATAAAAGGATTTTTTTTTTTTGGATTTTATTTATTATTTTTTATTATATAACCTTATTACAAAAAAAATATTACAATTTTGTTTAAAAAAATATAAGAATGCAAAATATAAAATGTGTTGTTGTTGGTGATGGGTAAGTTCCTTTTTAATAATATATCTTGTTATTATTATTGTTGTTGTTGTTGTTATTGTTGTTGTTATCGTTATTATTAAAATAACAATTTTTTGTTCAGTTAAATAATAAAAAGGATTTTTTTTTAAAAAATATATAGTGCTGTTGGTAAAACTTGTTTATTAATTAGTTATGCAACAAATGCATTTCCGGGTGAATATATTCCAACTGTGTAAGTAGTAGTAAAGTATTTATTTTGGTTTATTAAAATGATAACTTATCGACTCTGTTTTTTTTTTAAATAGATTTGATAATTACTCAGCTAATATCACAGTTGATGGAAGGCCAATAAATCTTGCACTTTGGGATACAGCCGGACAAGAAGATTACGATAGATTAAGGCCGCTTTCATATCCACAAACTGATGTCTTCCTGATTTGTTTTTCAATAGTTAGTCAATCATCCTTTGAAAATGTTAGAACCAAGGTAAAAATACATGCAACATATATATATATATATTATTACTTGCTTTCTTACTTGCCTACTTTCTTCTATCCTAACTCGATTACTTTGAATAATTTCAAGTGGTATCCGGAAATATCTCACCATTGTCCTGGAGTACCAATAATTTTAGTTGGTACAAAACTTGATTTACGCGAAGACAAAGATACTCTGTTGAAGTTAAGACAAAAAAATCAATCACCGTTAACTTATCCACAAGGTTTGCAATTAGCAAAAGATATAGATGCAGTGAGATACATGGAATGTAGCGCTTTAACTCAAAAAGGACTAAAAACTATTTTTGATGAAGCAATACAGGCAATCTTAAGACCTCCACCTGTTAAAAAGAAAAAGTCAAAATGTATTATTACTTAAAAAATTCCTTTATCTGTTTTATTTATTTATTTATTTATTTATTTATTTATAGATAAAAATTAATAATAATAGTAGTTAGTTAATGGTAATTTAATATTAATATTAATATAATTTATTTTAAAAAAATTTTTTGTAAAGAATGTTATGTCATTTCTGTTGATTGTGTATATATAGTCCACGCCTAAATTATAATCACAATATTTTAAGAGAGATCATATTTTTTTCCCAAAATATTGCTCTCTCTTCAACTTGACAAATATATTTGTCACTCTGTTGCTTACTACGTAAAACATATTATTTTGGGAGTAGTAAAAAAATACGAAGAAAATTTTTTGAGAGCCTTGAGAGAGCAAAAAATAGTTATTGCCATTTTTAGAGATGATATTCGATTTTGAGGTTTTTTTTTAATGAAACTATTATGTACGTTTTTGTTTTACTCGCGACAATTTCTAGTAAAAACCGTTTGCAAGTTCACTATAACTTTGCGATGAATTGACTCGATCCATTGTGGATTCGATGATATAGTAAACCATCACAATAAACTTTTTTGTATTAACGATTAATTTATTTTTAAAAATATATTAAAAAACAATTGATAAAATAAAATAAAAAAATAAAATATTTACAAATAATTTTGCCAATTCTGTTCTTCCAACATCATTAACATAATTGATAAAATAAAATAAAAAATAAAAAATAAAAACAAATATTTTTATCAATTTTGTTCTTCAACAGCCAAGTCATCATTAACAATTTTGTAAAATCTATTCACAAATTTTCTCAAGTAAACTTCTGCACTGTCTTTGCCTTTAAAATACAACCTATGGTTATAAATTATAATCTCTTGAAAGAAAACTTTAATATCATTAATACAATTTTTAGTTTCAGGTGATAATGGTTCATTACTTAAACCATGTTGTAAATCGTTCAATATACTATCAATTTCTATCATGGATTTAGCGATATTTTCTTGTAACTTTTCTATTCCTTTTTTGTTATTTTTTTTAATTTGACTGGTTTTTGCCTTCAAATTATGAGCCAAATATGCCAGTTCTAAGTCAAGAAGCTTATATTTGTCTTGTCTTGATGTCATTTTTCTTTTGTTAATGAATTTTTATTTTTATTTTAAAAAAAGTAAATTTTTTCTCATTATTTATAATGTTTTTTTTTTTTTTTTATGAATAAAAAAATCACGTATTGTTATCGTGAATTATAACCCAAATCGATTTATTTACTTTTTCCGAATTCCCTTCTTAAAGACTATTTGAAACAATAACAAATTGAATTTGTATTAATATTGCCAATCCCGTCAACAAAAATTGTACATAATAATAATATTATTATTTATTACCTCATCCGTCACTTTGAAGCTTGGTACAACGATATCGGGATAAGTTAAATGTGTCTTCCGCTTAAATAAAATTTAGTTAGTTATATTATAAATACATAATCTATTAAATATGTATGGGAAGATCGTGTGGTTCAACTAATTTATTCAGATAACAAATAAAAGACTCTGCTTGTCATCGGAATTCTTGGATTACGGAAAATTCGGCATTTTTACCTGTTACGGTATAATAATAAGCCCTAAATACCTAAAGTCGTGAAAGTTGTAATTATTTACGGCTTATTATTATTATCATCATTAATATTATTTACCATTATGTAAGATATACATATATAGCCGTAATTATTGAAATCTGTTTATCATAACACAAACTAATAATTCTTTGATAACAATAATGATAAAATCAACATGGAATAATGTCCACTTCCTATTGATTCTTTGTAAACTCGATAAGTTGATCATTTATTTATATTATCGAGTACTTTAAAACAATTGATTGCTGTGTCCGACTTATAGAGTTTACATGTGTATTTTGTCATTGAGCTAAACTCGTATAACTCTTTTTTCCTTATTTTTATTGCGATAACACAACTTGATGTTTATATATGGCAATAAATTGATATCTTTATATATATTATTTAATATAAATAGCAAATTTTTTGCTCATCAAAAAAATAATTGTATAATTCTGGAATTCTATCATTTACCAACTATAATACGTATACTATCATCCTTTTTTCTTTTTTATGAGAAAGTAACACGTTAGACATGATGGAAATATAATAAATATGGGGCATTTTGTAATTCAATTATAGTTTGATATTTCGAATAATACTTGAAAAAGATATTTGTTTGTTTTCACATAACGTAATAATAAAATGTTTTAAAATAAACGTATACATGTATTTATTTATCTCCATAATAATACAAGCATCTAAAAAATAAAATAACTTACTCTTTTATGTTAGGATTTGGAGTAATCATCATCGAAAAATCCTTCTTTCAGAAAAAATATCAAAGGTTTCAATATGAAATTGAAACCTCCCAATAAAGAAAATCCAATAAAAAACAATATTTATTAGATAATATAATTTACATCACGTAGCGAGCGACAAAAAGAAGAGGGCGTTGGCGGTGATATATTTTCATCAATAAAATGTTCTGTTTCCATGATTCGTACCTTCTATTACCATACTAATACATGTTGATTTCTCGTGTTATTTGAGATATAAGTCATACGAAATACGAAATATTTTCTTACACTAAAAGAGCTTAATATATTGCAAGCATTCTAATAATAATAATAATACCAAGACCATGTATGCTCGAACGTTTAGAGCTTTATGCATCGGTTTTCTTTCCCATCGCCATCCAAGTTTCTGTTCACCAACTTTTCGGGTGAACAAAAGAGAAGCCTCGATAGTCTCTTTCATATTTGTGTAGTAAACATATTACTGAAAAGAAAGAAGATGGTTTCAGTAAAATACAGAGCTCACATACTGAATTTTTTTATTGCATCGCAACAAAGTCGGCTTGACCTCTTTTTCCATTAGAAAATAATCAATAGAAATTATTACAGTCAGACCTCTATACAGCCACAAGTGTTCTTACATACAGGCATTTTTATATGGTCACAGGTGTTCTTCTATCTATATATATGGTCATGGCAAATAACATGTTTTCTTACAGAGAGGTGGTGATTGGCAAAATATTGACTTTTACAATAGCATATTTATTTTTATTAGAAATTCCATTTTAAATTATTGATAAGAAATCAATGGTGGTTTTTTCTAAAAAATTTTATATCATTTTCATTAAATAATCCATTTTCTCTTCTTGTTGTTTATAATAATAATCAATCCAAGTTCTCTTGCAAGCACTATCAGTTATTTCAACTTGTTGAACTCACTATATACTTTCTGAGAAAAAATCAAGTACAAAGCAAGTCATTCGAATAAAGTGAATAATTCAGAATAAAACGAATAATTCAAAATAAAACGAATAATTCAAAATAAAACGAATAAAACGAATAAAAAGAATAAAACGAATAATTCAAAATAAAACGAATAATTCAAAATAAAACGAATAATTCGAATATATAAAACGAATAATTCAAAATAAAACAAATAACAATTCGAATAATTCGAATAATAAACGAATGATAACAATTCGAATGATAACAATTCGAATAATAAACGAATGATAACAATTAGAATAATAAACAAATGATAACAATTTGAATAATTCAGAATAAAACGAATAATTCAAAATAAAACGAATAATTCGAATAAAACGAATAATTCAAAATAAAACGAATAATTCGAATAAAACGAATAATTCAAAATAAAACAAATAACAATTCGAATAATAAACAAATGATAACAATTCGAATAATAAACGAATGATAACAATTCGAATAATAAACGAATGATAACAATTCGAATAATAAACGAATGATAACAATTTGAATAAACAAGAAATGCTAAAGAGATTGCTGCTGCCAGAAAAGTATTGAACCAAATTGTTAGATCTTTGGCCTTTTTAAATGAGTTAATAAAGTCTTCTGCACAAGTGGAAGGACGTGGAAAACATTTTTGATTAATCCCCAAATTTAAATATGGAACGTAAACATCATTTGAATATTCCTTAATGAGTCTTGATTTCCATAACCTGAAGATTGTATGACACTAAGATAAGACATGCAAGTATCTTCAGATTTACCATGTCATATTTTAACGTAATGTTGAAAGTACTTGACATAATTTGATATATCTTTGAATTCCTGATTAAATGTAAGAGATGCATATTTAAACTATGGCATCATTTCATCACCAATTTGTTTGACTGGTGATTCTAAAATTTCATATCATGATTAATAAAATAGAAGGCCAGATAACATAAAATTTATTGTCAAAAAAAAAAAAAAAAGAATTTATATACCTTCAGGTTGAACTGTTATATCAGTTATAAAGTTTTCTATTTCAAAGGTATATTTAAACAAAATCTGTAGTAAGAAAAAGCAGATATAAAAAGAAAAAAATACATATTTATTCATCTTCATCTAACCTACCTCCTTGTTTACACCTTAAGTGAAAAAATTTAATTCAATCCAAAATTTTTTTTACACATACTAATGACAGATAATCAAATAGAATTTGAATAAATAAATAATGAATGGAATGGAATGAACGAAAAATAATTTTATTTTACGCAATTTGTTCATTACCCCCACTGAACTCTCTTAACACCTTCCTTCACTTCTTCACCTGCTCCTTCCAATCATTCTTGTCTTTCTTCAATTCTTCTTTTCTTTTTGCAACTTGTCTCTCTGCTCTTCCCTCCTTTTTATTCAAATCCCCTTCATTAACTCTTCTTCCAACTCGTCCAACTTCACCCCCTTACACTTTCCCTCTTCCCAATCTTCTAACTTCTTCTCCATTTCACCATATTCCACTCTTGCATCATTTAATTCTCGTTCGATTCTTTCAAGAGTTGCCAATTTATTAATTTTAAAAAAAATTTTTTTTGTTGATTTAATTTCTAAATGTTGATCATTTTCCAAAAGTTGTTACATATGATTTTACAATAGTCGTCCTATTAAAATTAAGTTCGTCATTCGCGAATTTCCATGCTGAATGAAAAATTTGAATTCAGTTCAGCCTTTTTATCAAATAATTGCTTAAGATCTTTCCATATATTTCCGATTTTTTTTTGAATATTTTGATCACCAATAAGTATGTTTGTTTTATTTTTTAAATTTGGCTTTTCTAAAGAACTTTTTTTTTCAGCCCCACAAATGATGTATCACACAAAATATATTTAGCATTAGATTTTTCTATGTTTCGTTAAAAAAAAATTAAATTTTACCTGAATACAACAATTCAGCATTACGTAAATAAATTCGGCATGACACCCTAAAGTCGTTAAAGCCATAAACCGTAAAACTGTAATAAATATTGCAAGCGTGCGGCCTGAGTTATCGGAGTCACCAAATCTGGAAAACTAAACTCATTATATACAACATACTACTTGATTAGCAGTCAAACGATTTGTCATACTAATTGATTGGGAAGTGTACACTCACCTGCCAAAGTATCTGGATAAAATGCAGATCATGTTAATTTCCGTGACATTCTCGAAAACCAATGAGAGAAAACACTTTTTTTTTATTCTAACCAAACACACTTTAAATGTTCGAAATTGCATATTTCTATTTAGGCAATATATAAATTCTTAAAATCGTTTAAAAATTCTGGTTCCCAAGAGTTTTTTTTGCCCTATAAAATATCCCTGTTTAATATAAGCTATATACAGTTGAACCTCGCTTCAGTGAATTATAATTAATTCACGTTACAACAAAATTTTGCACATAATAAAAAAAAAAGCGTTTATAACTACATCTGTTAACAATTCTGGCTAAAACTCCAAAACTATATATATCTGATGCTGGCTGCTTTACATGATGTGGAATTGATGGCCCTAAATTTGCACATATGTGTATAACTGATTGCTACTATGAAGAAGAATTTTTTATCTGGCTTCTAACCTATTTTTGTCATTAAAACATATAATTGGATCTTGATTCGTCAAATTAAAAAAAAAAGAATAATCGTAGAAGTACTTTGCGAATTGTGTAAAATTTTTAATGCTGCAACCGTTTCCTTACGAGATTCATTTTTGCCATTTATTTAAACCAATCTTTTCAAGGGATCCATTAATATAATATCTATTTATTATATATTTGTTGATTCAATTCATCTATCCTTGATTTAATATTTTATGGGTCGCGTAGTTGACATCATCCATAATAAATATTATATCTATTTGGACAAGAAGTTTCTCGTCTTTTAATCTAGAATTTAAACACTTGTTTGATACTAATAACAAGATCTACGCCATCCCAGCGAGTGGCTTAGATGCTTGATGATTAATTATAAACCATATTGAAAGAATGAATGGATCGTGGTAATTTTTTATTTTTTTGAGTCAAAATAAGTACTTCTTAAAAAAAAAAATGAAAAAAAATATTATAATAACTTGGTTATATTGTTTAATAATAATAGCATTTTTTATAGAAGATTCTTATGGGGTGGATGATCATAATAATGAAAAATTAAAGATAATCGTGAGTGTTCCATATGAAAAAAAGGTTCCTTCGATTCCTGTATTTAGAATCGGCTCGACCCAGTTGATTGAATGGGATTATTTTGGATTTGAAGGAAATCGTAAGTTTTTCATCACTAGATTAATAAACGTTCCTTTATATCTCATAATTTTATCAACAAATCAATCATTACTGTTGATTTGTTAGCTGAAGTTATAATAGATGTCTTCTATATATTTCCAACATTACCAAATTCCAGCTATATTTCAATTTGGCCAAATCCCAAAGTATGTGAGGTTTTTTTTAAAAATAAATTTGTAAAAACATTTCAATTTATTAATTTGTTTGTTTGTTGATCGATTATTCTTTATTAATTAATGAAAAGATTGCAAAATTGCAAGATGAATCAATAAAATTCGAAATAGGTTCTAAATATTTTCAAACTGGAAAACAATATATAGCAAAAGTTTTTTTAAAAGACAAAGCTGAAATTAGTGGCACATCGGAACCTTTTATGGTTTGCGAAGTTTGTCTTTATTGATAAGTTAGAATCAGTGTTAGTTAATATATATTAATATCATCAATATTTCTAAATTATAAGATTATAATAATAATAACTATTTCAATAATTATCAATTGTTGGTTAACGTTCTTTGAGTTCCTGACAAAAGAAACCATTTACAAAACTTATAAACACTTTTAATATCCCATGACCAAGTAGCACTGTGATTTTGTCACAGGCCTTTTCTTTAACGGCTCTCTTTGTAAAGCGTGCAGTGTTTTTTACGGCATTAAAAATCCTCCCATTGATTGTTTAAAATAAGTCACGTGTAATTGAATTGGACTAGGCTTATTAAAAATTTTCATTACTAATAAAGGTTAAACTTACCAGAACATCTTGGTGTAATAATCTAGTGAACAGCAAATCAAAATTGATTCAATTTATTTATTATTTAATCAGCATTAAAACTAATGTAAATTATTGAGAGGATCGTTTTTACATATATTATATTTTGAATTCAAATATTTCTTTTGCCCTCTTCCCATACCGTCTTTAATATAGGAAATCTTAAAGACTTACCTGTTTTATTTCTACTGGTTGATTCTTCAAAATATTTTATTGTTACTTCTTTTCCTTTGATTAAATCCGGATTTTCTTTATATTTAATTCTTTGTTCGTTAGTAAAGCCTGATCCCACACCCACATCATTACCTAATAAACAGAAAAAATTAATAAAGAAAGATATGCATATGTGTATATAATAATATATTAGATTACAATGATACCTTGATAATCAACTATAACTTTTGATAATACTTCTCTTTCTT